GGGCGTACGGGAAGGAAAAAATTAGGGGGGCGGAAAGAAATTTGCCCGACTTTTTCGGATTGTGCCCGAGTTGTCAAGAAAAAATTTCCGGAGAAACTTTCCAAAATTGTTGTCGACGGGGGGAGGGGAGGAGTGATTACGAAAAATTCCTATTAGATAGCATATTTCCCACAAAATTGACAGAATTTCCCACAAAATTGACAGAATTTGTCCCATTTATTTTTATAATAAGCGAATATTGCCCGACTCTGAAGCGAATATTGCCCGACTGGCTTTGTTTGCCCAACAAACTAGACGCCCCCCCCCCCTCCGGTACGCCCATGATGGTCTCACAATTAATGTAATAAAATCAAAAAAGTTTAATCTGCGGTGTTATAGCAATCAACAGCCATGTTTCAAAGCTTCAAGTCACTATCAGGTCAGTAGTGATAGATAGTCTTTGTAGTTCGTACAACAAACCCCTGCTCTCTGATGTCAAGTCACAGACAGTATTTATGTGGACTCGGATTGGTAAATCCAATCCGATCGGATCGGTATCAAATCTAATCCGATCGGATTGGTAAATCCAATCCGATCCGAAATTGTCTAATACGAATCCGATCCGAGTTTTGATAAAGAATTCGATCCGATCCGAAGAATCCTTTAATAAAATAAATTTAATTCTCATCCAATATATAATTAATTCATTTTATTTCGAATGGAAACAATACCCTCTGGCTCCCAGGGTAGATCCGAAACTAACTTTATCAATCCGAAATGAATATTTCTTTATTTTTGTTCCGAAATCCGAACGAATCCGATTTGCACACCTCTAATTGACTCTGAAAAAGTTTTCGGTATTCTAATATTAATGACAAACAGGTCATATTTCCATGCATATCTTCACTAGTTAAGATATCGATCACCTGACTTTTCCCAATTTGCTTTTGAGCGTGAAATTTCACAATCTTTTGCTTGGGACTATATAATAACACATTACACGGTGTCTTGAAGATGACTTTTATCTTCTTGTGCTAAAAACAATATTGCGCTCGTTCGTAAAATATTGTTTTCACCACTCGAAAATAAAAGTCACTCTTCGCGCCGCCGATCGAGTAATATCCTCTATTTATACTATTAATGCAATTTCTTTACTTGTAAACACGGTCTCATAAAAATGTCATTTCCTTTTTTCCGGGTAGTTATTAATTTAAGCACTGTAAGAAAAATCAATAGGCTTTCGTCGTTTCGAATATTTTTGCCTATTAAATAAATATAAAACATGATCCGTACGTGTTCAGTAAAATTATGCCGAATTCCTGTTTTCGAGGATACTTTTAAAATGTGAAGATGACGTATTCTTGATGGAAGCCGGGGGAAAAACCATAGGATGGAACGCACAAAATTTTCCCCTCCTCTCTTGCTTTTTTTTACGAAATGTATATTGTATTGAAATAAAATATTTATAACTAATATTACACATTTTTAAATGGCTAGCGTGCAAAAATTGGTTTTCAAAAATTGGTTTTAACCTGCTGTAGTCAACCTAGCTGCCGTGATAACATGATTGTGAAAATATTTACTTGCACCACCGTGGTAATGTAATGACCATTTAGCAAGTCGCAACAACGCGGCGCTTAATCGAAGCAACATCTGAAAAATTGTTCGTGACCATTCTCGTACCCAGAGCCCTTCTTACACGCGTTCGACCGCAGAAGGGCTCTGGGTACGAGAATGGTTCGTGACGCCCAACCGCGGCAGAAAAACGCCCTGGGTACGAGGTTGCAATCTCTAACAAAACCTCAGAACTTTTCCCCCCTGCATTTCAGTGCTTTTATGCATGTTATATTTTGTTGCTAATATTTCTTGTTATCGCCTACAAATAAAATGTTTTATAAAGAGTGCCGCCATCGAACAAGCGCCGCTCCCAAATAAGCGGCGCATTCCCTAGGCGAATTTGTTCGCGCGAACAGTAAAAAAAAGTAGGAACTGATCCAACTTTTTCACGTCGAATTTTTTCGCTGACCAATCACATTGCCAAGACTTGTTTTTCGCTTCGCGCGAACAAATTCGTCTAGTGGAAAATGGGCTTAAAAGTTTAAAGAGCGCCGCGACGCTTAAAAATACGATAAGCTTAATACTTTAGTATTCAGACTTCTAATATATTGTTCAACCTCGTCACCGGCAGGGGCGTAGCCACCGCTAAACGCGCGCGCGTGTGTGTGTGTGTGGTGGTGGGGGGGGGGGGGGCG